GGGTGTTGGGGGCGGTTTGGGGGGGTTGGGGTAGGTCCCAACCAGCCGATCGGTCGGCGGTCGGCAGCCGACCAGTCAAGGACCGCCGACCGTCGGGGGGTGCAACCCTGGTTATCACAGAATTTTCAACCTTTTCTCTTTTTTTGGGGGATCCCTCTGTTCTGTTTTTGAGCACCAAATTAAAAGAACAAGTGGATCCGCCGCGGCTTCGCCCACGGCGAAAAGAGGAGGAAGCGAGTAGACACAGGATGGAGATATGCACGATTTCATGTGGAGACTGAGAGAAAGAAAAAGAACAGAGAAAAGAAAAAAAAGGAAAAAGAACAGTGGAATCAGTTTATGTTGTGTGTTTTGAAACATGGATCTTATATATGACATTTATTTTTCTGTACATCGATTCGAGTACACTTTTCTTTTTCTCTCTCTGTCTGTCGATTGTTGAACTGGGTGTAGCAAACAGTGCATCTCGCACAGCAAAGTTTGTGTCTTTTTCTTTTTCGTCTTTCTCCAATCGATCCGAGCAGATTCTCGGTCTTTCTCTGTCCGTGTGTCTCTTTCTCTCTCTTTCTCTCTCTTTCCCTTTCTCTTTCTCTGTCTTCCTTTCTCTTTCTGTCTCTCTCCCTTTCTCTTTCTCTCTCGTTGCATTCCCCCTTCTTTCCTGCCGGCTTGTCCCCTCATTCCTGCCATCTCCTCGTGTGTCTTTCTCTCTTTCTCTTTCCATGCAGTATCCCGACTTCCCTCCCTTGTATCTCGTGGTCACGGATCCCCTCTTCCCCCTTCCTCTTCCTTTCCTATGTCGTCTCCCCTCCTCATCCCGATGCACATCGACATCTCAGCGCCGTCGCTCTTTTCCATAGCCAAAAGAAAAAAAGAAAAAAAAAACGAAAGGCGAAACGAAACCCCCTTTCTTCCTATCCCGACTTTCCCCCGTCGTCTTGTCTTCCCTCCCTACCCGACCTCATCCCGTCTCTCCTCCTTCCCTCGATCCCGACTATTCCTCCCTCCTATCCCGTCTTCCCTTTTCATCTGGACCTCATCCGTCTTTGGAGTCCAATTCCGATTTCCTCTCTCTCGTATCTCGTCCTCACCGATCTCATCCCGTCTCCCCTCCCTCTCTCAATCCCGACTTGGCCTCCCTCCTATCCCGTCTTCCCTTTACATCCCGACATTCCCCCCTCCTATCGCGTCTTTTCTCCCCACCTTATCTTGTCTTCCCTCCCCACCCCGACCTCAGCCCACCTCCCCTCGCTCTCCTGATCCCGACTTCTTCCCTCCTCAGTGGGACCTCCTCCCGTCTCCCCTCCCTCTCCCGACCCCGACTTGCCCTCCCTCGTATCCCATCTTCCCTTTCCATACCAACATTCCCCCCTCCTATCGCGTTTTTTCCCCCTACCCTATCTCGTTTTCCCTCCCCACCCCGACCTCATCCCGTGTCCCCCCCCTCTCTCGATCCCGACTTCCCGTCCGTTCTATCCTGTCTTCTCTTTCCATCCCGACCTCGTCCCTCCTTGGACTCCGATCCTGACTTTCCCTTCTTGTATCTCGTCCTCGCATCCTTCTCGGACTCCGATCCCGACTTCC